GATCTTGTACTACTATTTCGTGACTAATTAATGTGTGCTACAGGCTATAAATATTTGCTAAAAGTAATTATTAAATTATTATTATTTGTTACATGAACTAATATTAAATTCTAAATATTATCTTCAAGGTTATTATAAATTATTGCAGGTGTTTTTAATATTATTTTATCATCATATTTTCATTCTGTAACAGCGTATTGTAAGTCTCTAACCATTTTGAAACGCCTCAGCAATAATTATTTAGAGACATGGTCTCATGTCTCCAACACATATCTTAGTTTTACTAAGGCTTTACTAATTTATATCTGTAAATTTAGAGAAGATATATGGTGTAATCCAGCTTTTATTACAAGTACGACCTGTGGTATACAAAGTGAAGGGACTTACGTTGCAGATGTAATCATGCCATTACTTCAAGCTAGTTTAGATGACTTACCAAATGGATATATCTGTTTAAGCACAGCCAAGCATCAAAGTTTAGCAAGTAAGGTACGTAGAAATGATGGAACAGGTAGGGTAAAAATAGAAAAAAACCTGATATTATGGCTTTAGAAAATTGTGATGGGAAGTTGGTGGAGTTTTTATATGTAGAAAGTTCTTGTATTATCTGTAGTGCCACTAAAAAAATGGATGATGAGATAAAATTATGGTGAGAATTATTAGATGGAAGTAGTTATATAAGTTCTGTATGCAGACCTATTTGCAATCAATTTGGCATGGTCGGGATCCAAGTAGCTGGTGAGAAAATACATTTAAACGTCCTTGTTAACGATGCAAGTGGAATACCAAGATACTTCCATCTAGATCATGCAGAAATTCCATTAACCCCAGAAGTGAAATGGCGTACAAGAGCCTTAATAAGATTGCTACTGACCTTGAGAAATATTATAATCGTGAATAAGAATTTGCTTAAACATGCTATAGAACAGGCCGTTTCACATCCACCTCGAAATACTTCTCCGAGCCCCACTGTTACTACACCGGAACACGATTATCAATAGATTTTTCTTCGTATATCATGTATTTTATCCTGTATTTTTATCGTACATATATTTTATTAATAAAGATTTTTGATTAGAGGAACGTACAAGTCTTTAGACGATTCTTCGAATCACGTATCACATGTTATTTTTTGTGTAATTTTTCTGATCGTGTTACTTGATCGAATTTATCGAATTTACTATATATGATCGAGAATTTTCTTGGCAAACGGCGTGACCAAAAGTACGCATTACTGTTTTTTTATAAATTTGCTTTTAAATACATCCGCTTCTTGTATAAAGCAATGGCGGACAATCAACTTGCAATCAATTCCTTGAGAGTATTGGAAGAACATGAAATCAGAATCACGAATCTAGAACAGATCGCTTGTGAACAAGCTAAACTTGAAGTTAGAATTGCGAAATTGGAACTGAAGCTGATATCTAAAAATAATCGTAAATTCCAGAATAAATGTATTCAGATAGCTATGGAAATTCTTGATGAGGGACCAATAATTGAGTATCGGCC